ATACCCAAAATACATATACCCGACACATACTAGTGATAGGGTATTCTTCTTCCATTATTTTATATAATATATCTGAATAAGAATACCCTAAGTATCACATATTAAGAATATGTTTATTTACGTTTTTTTTACTAATCTGCTATATATCTCTTTTACATCCATCGAAAAAAATTAATTAAACATTTTGGAAATATATTGGAGTATATAAAGTTTTACCTACTGATGCCATGTATACCTCAACTACTTCTAACCAAAATCATGAAACTGACCCAACGCTCGTCCGCTACGATGGCGCTGAGTCCGATGAATATTTAAGTAACTCTAGCAGTTGTACTGATAATAGATCCAACTTAGGGTCAGATAATTATAATAATTGCGAGTCTAATTATGAGTCAGATAATGAAGAAGCTTCCTGCGCCTCAACCAGCATTATCAAGAATCCATTTGTACAAGAGAGAGGAGACCCACCTGTTAATGTAACATATACTTTGAGGCAGGAAAAGTTCAATGATAATTTTTCTCCCAAGAATTTGATAAGTGAAATCCAAAAAATCGCCTTATCACCACCTAGAGATATGTCAAATGATAAAGGCTCACTAGATTACCTTCCAATCTATTCATTTCTCTTTCCGAATGAAAAAGGGTCTAGTTTATATAATGCTTATGATCGAAATGAAGTTGATAATAAATTAGTTATCAAAATTGACCAAGATGGTGATCGTGCTTCAAAGTTTTCTGTTGCAGATGACATTTCAGAAGTATATGGTTTACCTAGGATTCACAAATATATTAATGGCCAAAAGCCTTTAAGAGCTGTGATTGATATTGATGCGTCGAAAGAAGATATGAAAACAGCTAGTGTTATGAGACAGGAAGTATTTATTCGAATCTGTTACTCTTTCATAAGAGCTTTGTATCGAATTCTTGACTGTGGTTGGGAAGATATTCTCAAAGGGTTAGTAATTGCTTCGTCTTCAGATTCTAGTAAATGCAGTTATCATATTTTATATACACCAGTTCTACTTATTGATCATAACGAACTTAAAGCGTTTACAGAATTGGTATATACCTTAACAGGTGAAAAATATGGTAAGTTTATTGATCAGAAATTATCTGGTCAAAATTTTAACCTTCGCCTTATCGGTTCAGCAAAAAA